AGGGTGTGTTTCTTTGGGATGACCTGGATTAGTCAGCGTCTGTGATCTATGATCTATGATCTATGAGCAAAGGTCACGTTGATCATCAGGGGTTTTCATCAGCATTTTCACCAGGAAGGCAACTGGTTTTCACAGGCAGGCAAAACTTTTTTAACTGAGCTTCTTTATAAGACTTTCCTATAGATCGTCAAACCAGGTGGGCAAAACTATCCTATCAGCTGGTAATTTTGCCCAGTGCCCAGCTCTTAGTGAAACTCCTGAACCAAGGTGCATTAAAAGAAACTGATGAATCCTCAACAGTGCAGATTCATTGGTTCCTTTGATTCATTGTTAATTCAAGTGACCTTGGATCATTGATCCTGATCTGGACCATCCCAAAGAAATTTTCCTAAAAATCTAGCTTGTGATCTAAACCCTGGCAAGTAACTGAGTAGAAACAGTTAAAAATATGTTTTATTAGCTTCATTGTAAACATTATTATTGTTTGTATTGTTATTTATGTGTAGGACTGTTTATTGTACATAACAAACTGTTTGCCTATTTTCCTTTGCTAACAGCTCCAGGTATCAAGGAGTCAGGAATTTCAGCTCACATACCTACCACACTTATTTTAACCAGGTTGGTTAATGGGAACGGTAACTGTTGTAAAAATAACATTCTGCAAACACCTTTACAATGTAACGTTGGTACTCATTGATTCTACATGTTAAGTTTTATTCATTTACTGTAGTTGTGTTTGCTTTGAATTTTTTTTTAATACCAATTTGGTTTTAGTTGTTTTCCAGCTGTGTTTGAGATTAGGATAATATATATGAGACAAAAGGAAACAAAAATCAAACTAACTTGGAAACTTTTAAACCCAAATCAAGTGTGTATGAATTAAGTTGTAGATTAATTACTCTACATGTACATGAATGTGTTTTAAAATATCATTCTTTTTTTTTTTTTAGATTTTCACAGCCCTTGTAAAGCAAAGAGTCTGTTACCTGTGAGTATCATCCAATGCATACAGATTACATTTGTATAGATCTATGCACAAGGGCCGTACAGGAGAATATCGGCCCTACCTGTAGGTGTTGACAGTATGGATCAAGCCTAGCAAAGTCTGTAAGGAAAAAAAAAAGTGGCCAATATTGTCTTGGTACAGTTCACACCATGGATGTTTGGTGAATAAGAAACTTACAATGTACATTATATGGCAGGATTTATTATTTAAAAAGATTTGAAGAAGATTAACTTGGTCTAATACTTACAAAATATTTGACTGGCATTTATTAGCGCATTCTTGTTCAGGGTTGTAGCTAAGAAAATACAATATAGTCTCCTGGTTAAGATTTCATTGAGCCGGTCACCATTTTTTGTGAGAGACATGGAACAAAATTTTCATCCCCAATCTTTTGCGATGCCTTGAATGCAGGGCTACCAAGCTTGGCTTTTACAAGATGGTGGACACAGTAGACGGAAAGGGAACACGCTAAACAAGTGCTCAAAACAATATTTTATTTCAATTACTTTACTCATTTTTGTGGCACTGATACTCTAGGTAGTCAGAAATTTATTCCAAACTTTTCATTTAGACAGATCAATATGGTTGAGATATTGAATGATTGTATATGTGTAACCTAAAAACCATTTGCTGTGTTTTACCGCGTGATAGCCCACCAAAATCCAGCCGGTTATCACCTCTTTCTCAGTAAGCAAAATAGTCAGTGCTTAGCAACAACCCTGCTTGTTGACGTATTTTATGTATTGGGCCAGCCCTCTTAACTGTCTTAAACATTACAGCATGCTAGGTAATGGTAATATTTCTAAAAAACAGGATTAAAACAGGATTAATTGTCCTAAAAATTAAATCATCCAGAAATTACATGTATACCTTTTCCAAGCAAATCAACTGGCCTGTAAAGAAATCATTTAATTTACATGTAATTATAGTAATTTTAAGTCCTAGACTCAAAGGGTAAATTTAGTATTTGTCTTTCCCAAAGGAAATTAACAGAAATGCATGATGGTGTAGAATGTATTTGAGATCTTTTTTTTTTTGGTTTCTAGAGAATGGATTGAAAGAGTTCCTCCAGAGAATATCCTCCGAGTGCTAATATGCCTCAGAATGTTAATGAGAGACCATGTTTTTCAGGTACAGTCAGGGCNAAATGAGCAGTTTGTCAGTCGGTTACTAGGTTGCTTGTTCATCCATAAACATTTAGGAATTGTTCAGGAGGGAAAAAAAAGTGGCTGCCAAAGACATGAACTAGCCCCGGTGTTGAAGGCTGGATAACAATATACACTGGATAAATTGCTATCCACTGGATAAGCTGTAACAAAGCGATCCATGCTATCCACTGGATAGCGATTTATCTGGTTGATAGTGTTATCCACCTTTCAAACAACCCAGGCCTGATCTCTTGCATTTGGGGCCAGGATCATTGTATTGTGTTTTTGGACTAGGAACTTTACTCTCACAGTGCCTCTCTCCACCCAGGTGTATAAATGGGTACCAGTGAATATATTAATGGTGCAGGGTGGGGTAGCCGTGAGATGCATCTCATCCAAGGGGGAGTAGAAATACATCATCACCATTATATGTACAAGTAATCTCTTCATGCTACAGAAACCAGAGATAAACTCTGTTCTGATGGGCTACCATGCTTGAACACAGGTCTTACACAGTATTACATTGTACCAACTTTAAAATTTAAAATTGCATTATACACTGATACCTAGACTAAAAGCATGAGATGAAGTTCATGTAGTTTTGAGTATAACAACCAAACTTGTACAATGTAATTAATGAATCTGTAAATAACAATAATTACCATTTTATTATCAAGCCTTACATTCTCTTCTACAATAGTCTACGTGGCTACTGAAGGTTGTGATGTACGTAGTGCAAGTAATTTCAACTCTCTGTCAGCTTACATGTAATGAGATGTTTTGTATTCAACAGCGGTTACAGCTACTGACAGAAAGTTACCTTGAGAATGGAGAAGAGCCATTTACTGTTGACATTTTGAAAGAAATGACAAGTAAATACCTTGCTTATTGTGTTTTTGAAACAAGTTGTGGTACTAAACATTTCAAGATTTATGTACAATGTTGAGCGCAACAACATTGTAGACTCTAGAAAAAGCATGGCAAAATCAGTTGCTTTCTCCAACAGTAAAGCCGCCTATACATTTACCTCACAGCAATGAACTGTACATTGTAGAAAACCTATAGAGTGTAGTACATGTGAAAGGCATGCTTTACTTGTGACGCACTCATTATTGTAATGTCACAGTCACACCTTTATATTTGTTATTCTCATCCTCAGATATTTGTCAGAAACTGTCTGCAGATGTCAAACAGCGAGAGTGGCTGGTAGCATGTTGTACACACAAAGTATGTGAGAATGGCACCCAAGTTGCTGATGCAGTACTTGCACTAAATTCTATGACAGAAGTCATAATTATTGTATCTGACAATTAAGACTGTTATCATTTATTTGATAATTAGCCTCGCAAAAGTTTATAACTGTGTCTTTCAGTGACTTAAGATGTTGAATTATGAATTTCGTTGTCAATCATTGTTTCAACAAAAACTAACCTAACCCTGAAAAATTAAGATCAAACAAAAGGGATTGAAACCAGCCATTTACAAGCCACAGATGTGGCATTTTGAACAAGTTGAAGTGGACTTTAGAGACATCTGCTGAGATAATTGACAGCAGTGTGAAATGCAAACATACCCCCTCCCTTGAACTCCTACGTGTAAACGTACATGTAAACAAGGGCCCAGGGTGCTAAAATGAATCATCGCAATGGTTAAAGAGGTGCAGCTGACTTCACAACATATATCACTCATTGAAAACAACGTGTTGTCTGTCTTAGGAGTCTCTATGGAGTCCAAAAACTTAAGATGTTTAGATGTTTAATATGTTAACCAAAATTCTTGAAAGAATTTTTGTCTCTCAGTACAACTTACAGTAATTGGCAAAGACACAAAGACAAGGGAATCAATCAGATTAATTTGTGGATTTGCAGTAGACCACTGACAACAAGTACACTTATGTACTTATAAAATGTACCAAATTATTTTAAAACCTGGCCTCATATGAAAATTATACATGTGCACGCTAACTTTTGTCATGTTAATGTTTTCTCTGCCAGGCTCTTGTTCTCCTCTTGTCTGCCAGCGATGTTATGGTACTTCATTGTTCCCTGTATGCCTTGATTGGTTTGGCTCAAAGGTCAGCTGTATGTAACATGTCTTATTGAAGCCATTAAATTACATAGCTGATTATGTTTACTTACGTGGAGGCACAGTGGCCTCGGGGTTAGTGTGCTCTACTCTGGATCAAGTGGCCTGGGTTTGAGCTCTGTTTGGAGACATTATGTTTTGTTGATGGACTAGTATCCCATCCAGGGGGGAGTAGAAATATTCCTAGCTACTTGGCTTGTATGCAGACGTTATCTTTTTTATGTCTACTTACATACAGTGTAGTTAAAACCAGCGAAAAAAAGTACACAATCTCTTGTTTCTTTTTCAAAACAGTGAAAGACCACGAGCCTTGATTGGTGAATTGAACTGCACTGAGATACTGTTACGAATATTGCAGGAATATGATGTGCTTTCCAAAACGTAAGTAATGAGAAGAAAGGTGTATACTGTTATGAAAAGCTGCATGTACAAATAAGATATCCCTCACATTGTGCTTGACTCTTTCCAGAAGTGTTTTCAAAGTGCTGCCAGTACAGTGTACAGTAGGTTCTTGTAGTCACTATCACGGTTGTCCTCTAGATTTTATTTTCATCTAGGTTGGACTGTGGTTGTTTTGAGAACATCTTGGCGGTGATGGACAAAACACTGACCCCTAGCCCATGGACTACCCTAATGGACTACCCAAATGGACTACCTTAAAATGGACCACCCCTAAAAAATACTATTTCAGATGAGTGGTATGTTAAGAGCTGCAATTACATACTTACATTGCACAGAGGATTTGTCCAAGTGTACTGTTTGAAAATTGGTCCATACTCCAGTAACAAAGGAGGAGGAAGCTTCGATAGATTACCATATACTGAGTCTCGCAAAACCACAAAAATTTCCACATAATTATAGTCCAGGCCAGCCAAGAATACTACTGCTTCCACTCCACTCTGAATTTTTGTAGCGTAGTCACTGGAATTTCTTGCTGTCTCATAGCTTTATCATCATTCCCATTTCTATTTCATTTTGATACACTCAGGAAAAAGCAAGAAGACTAGATGCTTCTGTGCCATAATTTTCGGCACAAAACAAGCAAAACAAATCACGAGTAACATCCTAAAGATCATTTCGTCTGTTCGAGAAAGACCGAGCTACTGAATCACATGGGAGAAAGATTGAGTTGTCCACAGCATGTTTGATTTGATTTGAGTCGATCTATGCTTTTTGTGTACAGTGGTCATTTTATTCAGTATAGTTATTCAAAATGGCAGCTGAAGGCGATGCAGAATGAAAAGAAAAGCATCCTCCATGCAGTGTAAGTATATAATCGCAGCTTCTTAACATACCTCTGATCTGAAAAAGTATTTTTTTAGGGGTAGCCCATTTTAGGGTAGTCCATTTGGGTAGTCCATTAGAGTAGTCCATGGACTAGGGTTCTGTGTTTTGTCCATCACCCATCTTGGCTTTTTGATAGAATGTTTGTGTTGCTTCACACCTGTAACAAACTTGTTACTTTGTGGGTGAACAGCAAGAGCACACCACGCATACTAGTTAATAGATGTTTTTGGGTCATGTTCCCTTATGGCAGCCCTGAGTAGCCATGCACCTGACCTATTCCAGTATCGTCAGTATCTAATTTGTGCATTGTGTTGAACTAGTTTGGCAGCTGGATTGCTCAGGATATTGTGTGCTGATAGCAGTATTAGAGAACAGGTGAAGGTCTTTGATGGAATTCCCATTTGTTTGAGGTGAGCATTACAAACTGTAAACTTTGGTCCCACAAACTTAATAAAAACTTAGTAATGACTCAAATACTTCAGCTTTATCTCATTTTTCCTCGTAATCAAATTGAATGTACCTCACTAGTACAGTGAAGCCTGCTCACAGTGGCTTTTACATACTTCTTTCTGATTCAAATAATGGTCCACATGTGATTTTAGTTTCTGCTGAACTCAAAGACTGCTTGTGTGTTTTTCTTTCAGCTTACTGCATTGTGACAATCTCAAGCTTTTGTGGAATGTGGTGAGTTTTAATTCTCTCAAGGTTTTCCATTCTTGGAGATAAATGTAGTTATCACAACTGTAAACAATCCCTTTGCCTCTTGCCTTCAATCTCTTTGATGTCTACCGTTGTTTGAGAAGGAAAATCTGGCAGTATGACATACAGTCAGGTTTATCAAGGTTTTTCTTGGAGACAAATGTAGTTACCACAACTGTGAACAATTCCATTGCCTCTTTCCTTCAATCTCTTTGATGTCTACCATTGTTTGAGAAGGAAAATCTGGCAGTATGACTTACAGTCATGTTTCCTTTAGTTTAAATTATTAACACTGACATTAATTTTGCTACGCAAGAACGTGTACATTATGTGCCTGTAATTTTTATAATGTGCATGTTAGTGAATGCTGCTGTTTTTACTTTGTGTTTAATCCAGGTGTGGATAATTGTACAACTGGCAGAAGATGCTGACTCTAGTAATGACATCAGAGTTCTTGGTGGAATCCCCCTTTTGCTGGCTCTCCTACAGTAAGCAACTTCAAATCATGTTTTTGCGAGATATTTTATAACCTTTCTTTGCTTCACACCAGGCCTTTAGCCAGATGGGTGTCCAGGCATCCTGTGGACTGCCACTTATTAAAGAAAATCATTTTATTTTTCATATGTTGTCTTTTAAATTGTTCATTTGAGCAGGCCCTATAGCACATTTTGGACTCCCACTTTTCACATCCTGGCAAAAAGCCTGCTCCACACAACAAGTTTGACATAGTGAACATTTCATCTTTTAGCATACTTGTAATTGCCTGCATTGTTGACCTTCTCACTGTAACAGCATACATGTACCTTTCATTCTGTAGGGATCGCAAACCAAGCAGTGATACGTTATATCTGGGTACTGACACAGGTTCAAAAGCATCCATCAATGCTGAGGTACATCTCAATGACTGTTTTAATTTCTGTGTAAATACCAATATTGCAACACATTCCTGATTGTATTTTACATGTAATGGATGTTGCTTTCTTGGTGGTTTGGTTATTTATTAATTTATTTATTTCAGCAGACAGAAGTTGAGCTTGGAGAAGAGACAATGCCATTAAAAATTGGTGAGTCAAAACTTGTGCTAAAACGAATAACAAACAGTATTGTTTGTTATACATTTAAATGGTGTCGTGNCATCACTTATAATACAAAAACGTGAATATCTCTAAAACGAAAAAAGATATTCCAAAAAGGAAAACGCCATTCTTCTTTACTTTGAAAAGCCTGTCAAATCAGCAGCAATTATTTTTTACTTCATAGGCACTTTAAATCTATAACCTGCAGAATTATACAATGCAACAAGTGTTTTTAGATTTTAAAGCCCAAATATAGTTGAAGCTTTAGACAATGTATTTTACGCACATGAGGAACACAAGCTACAAGTCAGAGTGTCTTGCAGCAAATTCGACCCTACATGTAAAGTACCCACTTCATATCTCTCCAAGGAAAACATAGTTTACAGGCAAAATAAGAACTGGTGTTAGTCACATCTACATTAGAGCTATAATGTATTTTGCTTAATTAACATGGTAATTTGTGTTCAGCTGTGTGCTCTGCTCTGACTGAACTTGTCGTCAATGACACTAACGGACAACAAATTGTGCAGGTTGGTGCATTGTAATTTTGTTTATTAGTAACAACAACAACATTTATTTGCACTCTTTCTTATTGTGCAAGGTCTAATCTAATCAGGTCAGGTCTAACCAGTTAAGGGTTTTTTCTTTTAATTTATCCCTAGTCAATGTTGCCTTACATTTTGAACTTTCAGTTTATAATTGTCTCTTACCACGATTATTCCTTTCCTTTGTTTTCAGTCCAATGGTATTTATTTGCTTGGTTTGTTGATTCTTCCACAAGAATCGTCATCTTCTGATGAAGCTTCCACCGTTGAGCATCTGCAGGTAGATTGGTAATTTCCATGTATTTATATCACGCAACACTTCATGTCACGCAATGGAAGTTAGTTTATAACAGTAGCGATGCTAATGAAAGCTTAACTAAATTTCTATACAATTACAAATGTCACGCAACGATTGTTAGCCATGTCAATAAACTAGCCTAAGTTGACAAGTGCTTGTTTTTTTGTTTTTTGTTGTTTTTTTTTTTTTACCTAAGTTGACTCGTGTATTTTATGCTTTCCTTATCAGAAAAGTGCCTTCAGGGCTTTGAGGTTAGTATCTCTCTTTCTTTTCCACTCATTTAAGACCTTTAGTGCCGAACTAAGTTTGGCCACTATACTGACAAAATTTAACCGCTTTGAAGAACTTTACACGTTGTCAGAAACATAAGAGGCCTGGTTGAGTTGATATTAATTTTATACCTTTTCATGATTATAAACGAATGAACTTACCTGCCTTTGCGGGAAATTTTTCTCACGTTTTCACTATCGCGACATTTTTGTAGAAAATCGTATAATGTAGTTAAAATTAACAAAGGCTATTATGTTGTTTTCCCGCCAAAATAACAAGAATTCACTCACGCGCTCTGCAACGTTTTCCCGCCAAAATGAAATCATCAACTTAGCGACTTGTCACAGGTACTACATATACCCGGGATGTCCAGTGTAATTGTTTTGTTTTGTTTTTTTGCAGGTTCCTTTTCAGTATGGAACGGAATCGCCAACTCTTCAAGAGGTGAGATGTTTGCCGTTTTATGATTCAACTTGAATGAAAATTATGGTAGATTACATGAGGTACTTAGTGTTCGAGAGTGTAAGACTGAGCCCGCGGTTCAAGTCGACTGTTTCAGTGTTCCTCCAACCTCCTCAGAGAACATACAGCGATACAGTATTTACTAAACAATTCTCCATACGGTGACTACATCGAATGTGTGAAGACTGGTGATGGGAATCTCTATGTTGACAACAGTTTGTCTTTGATTGGCAGATTGTTTCCTCCCGAACTGTTCGAGATGTTTATTGATGTCGGGCATTACGTCAGGGAGTTGAACGCTTACAAGCCTCTGGTTGACAAGATTTCCACTCTAACGGTAATTATCAAAGGGGTATTGGCACGCTGAATGCTATGCTTATTCAGTGATGAAGAATCGTATTTACATAAACTCAACAGAGACGATTTCTAGACATTGAAGATCTCTTTCTTATACAGGTTGATCGAAGCCGGCTAACAGAAATTTGTCGTGTCGTGTTTCAATCTCGCCTAATGTTGTTTGATTCCTGCGAGGTTCTGTGGGAGTTTATTAATGATAATATGTTTTTTCAATCATCAGTAACCCTGTTAGCGGCAACGAACCCCCTCTCCCAATCAATCAATCAATCAATCAATCAATCAATCCCCCTCCCCCCTTTTCCCCATTTTTTTCTTTTTTTCCACTTGCCATTGTTCACGCTGTTTTTTAGCAAACTGAACGCCTGGAACAGATTAGAGACCAGTTTGTATTGTCACAGAATGATGAATCAGTTTCCAATCACGCGTTCCCAGGGTCTATGTTCTTCCCGACCCCCAGGAACGAGGCTGACCAACCAGGCAGTGTTCTTACAATTGTTAATGTTGGCCATTGCCAATGCTTTGAGGAAAGGAAACTAAATAATGTAAGCTTACTTCCCCCGTACTTTTGTTCCCACAAGGAGGAGGATATCTCAGTGATAAAGAACAACATTTTAGCAACTAATCAGAATAAGGCTCCTAGTCATTCCGTTGGTTCGTATGAAGTACTTGAGCTGCTTGGATCCGGTGCATTTGGGAGCGTATACAAGGTGAGTAACAAATTTATTCCTTTGCCTCGTTCTGCTGCCACAAAATAGGAGCATTTCTGCGTTACTCCGTTGAACTTCTCTTGACTCAATGGAGGAAGTTTATTGTGTTTTACATCTGTTTCTATCAGGTGGAAAGAAATGATATAGGTACACAAGCGACATTTTTTCTTCATATTGCCACGAACCGTTTCTTCGCTATAAGAAAATTCGTTTTTGGAAAGAAATGATATAGGTACACAAGCGACATTTTTTCTTCATATTGCCACGAACCGTTTCTTCGCTATAAGAAAAATCGTTTTTTCCGAGCAGCTTGTAGAATTGACTGGTTGAAATATATTTTTCTTTTGTTTTATTTTAATTTTCAGGTCAGAAAGAAGAATGCTGGACAGAGCTTTCTTGCCATGAAAGAGGTACAGGACAATCAAGCTATCTTGCATAACCTGTGTCGGAGAGAGCTCCCTCCGATTTTCCTGTCGCTTTATCGAAGTATTTACTCGGAGTTAAGTTTTATTGAAGTGAGGAAAGGATTTTAAAAAAAAAAACATAACAATGGCCGCAAAAATTATTTTGGATCAGTGTGGAATATGGTTTTGCCCGCCGATTCCACNCACGATTGGTTGTGGTTCTTCTTCTGATTGGATGACCAATTGGCGGGAGGTTTTTAAGTCAATCGCTTAGCGTGATACTAAAGTGCAAAACCAATTGAAAGCAAATGCGAATTACTTTCGACACTCAAGTAAAACCGCTCCATGGTCAACGTTACTATTTAGGCGTGTTCTTATACAGAAATTTTCCAATAAATAGCACTGTACTATTTCTGTTAATGAAGAAAACTGAATGAAAGGATGTTTTGCCATTCAGCGTATTGGTTCACGTTCATAACAGCTCTAGTACAAGCGTTGTCTCTTGCAGAAGTGCACAAACACTAACACTAAAACTAACCATTTCGTGTTCTCTCTGTTTTGTCGCAGAGGACAAACTGTACGTCGTAATGGAATTAATCGAAGGGGCTCCTCTTGGAGAACATTTCAATTCTCTGAAGGAAAAGGGAACAAGATTTTCCGAAGAGAGAATATGGCATATTTTTATACAGGTATGTTAATCCAGGCCTTGATATTTTACTGTAATCTTTCTCTATTTAGTTTTTCTCAATAATAATTTATCATTATCGTCAACGAACCTTATCAGTCGCTCGTTCGTTCGTTTCGTTCACTTCGTTCGTGCTTTCGTACGTTTCGATCGTTTCGTTCGTTCCGTCCGTCCGTCCCTCCTTCCTTCCGTCCTAAATTTGGTTGTTCCATCTTCAGATTGTGCTAGGACTACGTTACATTCACAAGGAGAAACACATTGTCCACAGAGATCTTACTCCAAACAACATCATGCTAGGGGAAAATGATAAAGTCACCATAAGTAAGTTAGTTGTTTTTGCTGTTTCTATATTTTTAGTTGAAAAACTTGTTGGAAACTTGAGTAGAGGTCATTTATTGTGTTGTTTTCTTCACAGCTGATTTCGGCTTAGCAAAGCAGAAAAACCCTGATGCAAGCAAAATGACCTCGATGGTTGGAACAATATTATATTCATGGTACGTTCAAACCTCTATTTACATGGAGAGAGATTTTGAAGTTGAATTTAGATTTTTAGCCGAAAGCATCATTAGAGCATGTGTCCCAAGAGAATTGGATCAAGTAAGCCTAAGGTAAAGCATTCCAGACTGTAATACAGTCGAAAAATGAGAATCTTACATGGTCTTACTTGTGTTTCACAGAGTGAGGAAATTATCGTATGTGATTTCTTTGTTTCAGTCCTGAAGTGGTCCAAAGCCAGCCTTATGGCGAGAAGGCGGACGTGTGGGCCTCGGGATGTATTCTGTATCAAATGGCGACTCTTCAACCTCCGTTCTACTCGTCTAACATGCTAGCATTAGCAACCAAGGTACGTTTTGAAATGTTTAACCTTCAGACAAAGCCTGTGCTAAATGTCATGGTCATCTAGTCTGCGTAGCCACGTTCCCGTATGAGCGAAAAGGTTTCTCGCCTGTTGGCCTCGCGAAATTTGGCGTGAGGACAAATATCGACGGAGACGGCGAGATTGCAGCGAAAGCTCTTTCGTTCGTACCGGAACTCGTGCTACGCAGGCTATGGTTATCAAGTAACTTTAGTATACAAAATTATCTTTTAATGTCTCAGAATAGTTTGGAAAGTTAAATGAACGTCAAAGTACTGATAAACCAGCCGTGGATTATGTGAGAAATGTTGCCTGGGGTACTAATTAATGTTTCAAGCCTTTACCCTTCCCTTGAGCGAATCAAACGCCTTTCTGCCTTCCTAACGACGCAGTGCAATGCCTTTAGAAGTTAACGTGCCAATGCAGCACACCAGTTTAGGGTTGATCTCGTACTTTTGTTGGCATTTGTGCAAACGAGGCGGTTTCTAGCGTGTCTATAACGCGAGGAACGCTGTGACTGTCCATCTACGCGGACAATCTTCCTGACGATCTCTTCAGCTTATATCTCGAGATATGCTGCGTCCGAGCAATTCTGCGTATGTGCTTACATTTGGCCTTTTCTCAGTGTTTGTCCATTTCTCTTTCACATGTCAAGTATACAGTAACTGCAATATTTTGTTTTTCGTGCACAGATCGTAGAAGCCCAGTACGAACCTATACCTCCTGGACAATACTCCGACAAGCTATCGGAGACAGTTATCAGGTCAGTTGCTCGACTACTCCCCTCGTTTGCTAAAACTGCGATACTTCTTTATGCAATATGAACCTAAAAGCTTCAGAAATGAGTTCTTATGTCAGTGCAGTGAAAAGTAGTAATTGATACTCTTCTGTCGAACATCCTTTAAAATTGCTTTTCTTTTCGTTTTCGTTAACCATTTTATTTTCGTATTTTCTGCACCGTTTTAATTTCGGTTAACTGTCTTTCTTTTAGATGCCTCAGACCGAATCCCGACGAAAGACCAGATATCGTACAGGTACACTAACGCCAAAAATAATTTTCAAGATCGTTGTGTTGTCCGGCCCTGTGGAAATGTTTTGTAGTAGCAGGCAAGCAATTAGGGTCGGAGATGGATTTGTTGCTAGTCAGGGTTTGAGCAGTTTTCTATTGAGTGTGGTAAAACCAAAACCCCAGTAATTACTCTGGCCAATCACAAATTACACAGACAATCCGGTAAACCAATCAAAACTCGAAGCAAGTTTATGTAGCCGGCGCAAAGCGCGGGAAACCGTGTCTGACTCCTGGCCAATCACAGATCACACAGACAATCCAGTGACCCAATCAAAACGCAAAGCAATTACATGTAGCCGATGCAAAGCGCGGGAAAACTTGTGCGAGCGAGTCATGATTTGTTTTGATTTTAATTCTGATTGGATGACAAAGAAGCGGGAGATCTTTAGCCAGTCGCTAGCGGGCGAATTATTTTCGACACTCGAGTGAAAACCGCTCTATCGAACTTCATTGTGAGGTAGGCGGCACAATTTCCTGCTGAAATCACATTTGCCAGACATGGTTTGTTGTCTTCAGAGTGACTTGAAAGTTCACACCATCGCCAGTACTCCTCTAAGGTCGGTCATAGCGCGGAATAACTAAGGCATGTTTGAATGTTGTCTTTCATGTTAGGTCGCTGCTATCATCAGTGAGATAATGTTGGTTTATGTTGACAAATTACGCTCCAACGAAATCAGCTTAGAGAAGAAACTCGAGAGGGAAAGAAAGCGAACTCAAAGGTAACAATTCCTGTTGGCGTTGCTGTAAATAATGGATGACAACAATGCATTAAGAGTTGTTTTAATATGGATTCTGTCTCATGTGAGTCTGATCTCTTTATTTTTGATGGAAGCTGTGGTTTCTATCTGCCGAGATGAAAAGATTTCCAGTTCAAATAGCGATTTGAATCTGAACTTAAATGGCGATTTGAACCGGCCAAGCAGCTGGAAATTACGCATTGTTAAATGCGTGAAACCAACGGAAGTACCAGTAACAGCAATTTGTTTCCACAGTGGGGGTTTTCGTTCAAAAGGACAACTGTTACTTGTTGTTTGTATTTGTTTTCAGACATTACATCGAGGCAACTCGCAACATGCAAAATTATCATCGCTTGTTCTGGGCTTCACAAGAACGTTATGACAAGCTCGTAAACCTGTCAAGTAGTGGAGGAGCCGCTGGCTTCAGGAACGTGGACGTTTCTGAAGGCAGTGATACTGTGTTTGAAGCGGCGAATGTTTTAAGTGAGTTAAACAGAAACATTGTTCATAAAAACGGCGAGACGGAACCTGCACCCCAGGTGGACTCTGGGATAGATATCGGTGGCGAGGGTCTCGCGAATGGAAGTTTGGGTTCTAGTACGAGATCGCAGGAACAAAATGGCAGCCCGAAGCGTGAAAGTAGCTTGTCCCCAAACCTATCGCGGCGGCAAAGAACTTTAAAGCCAGTCACTGATAAATCAAGTAGTAAAGGAAACGTGGAGAAATCGTCGAGTAGTAGACAAGACAAGCCGTCTCCGAGCAGTAAAACAAGCACAGAAAAAGTGCCAAACGGAAGAACTATTGTCGAAAAGACGAGTGCCAATTCTTCTACGTCTACTGCTCATATATTCGCAGTACCCAAGCCTCCGGGGCCTCGTAAGGGTGCGCGGAGGCCACTTCATGTTGATTTTGCGGTCAGCAGTAAAGCCGGGACGTCAAATGGCACGAATACCAATGCAACATCCACTGGCGTGGCACATGGCGTGACCTCATCCGGGATTTCTGCTTCTGGGATAAGTGAAGCTCCATCCCGAAGAACGCAAAGCAGGTTGGTGTTGCTTGGTGTTGTTGAATGTTGCCTCGGTTTCAAAGCGAGTCCTGATGCAAAACCTATTTTGCGTACGGGTTATAATCACTTGGCTCTTACAGATGGGTCTTAACTGTGCCATTGTGCTTCGGGTGTTATCATTAACAATAGGAGGTTTTTCTTTTCCACATACGCACATGTTTTATAAAGGCGGAATGCCCTGCACGATTCCGCTAACTGCCACAGCTTTCCCCTTGTTATCAACTGCTCAAATCTCCTAACCTCCATGACTGGCTTTTCGTTGATACCCTTATAAGAAGTCACATGTTGATATTCCTTCCTGCTTTCCGTTTTCAGCTCTTCAGTGGAAATGTATAGACGGCAAAGTGGTGGCCAGTTAAAAGCAAGACCTCGTAAGTGCTTTTCCGAGCTCGTTGAAAAAATGTTCAAATGTTGTTTATAGTGGTCAGTGCGCTTAGCTAGACCTAGCTAGTTCACAGGCATGCTTCTTATACTGAAAGAAACAAATACATCAACTAAACATAAAAGACTTAAAAATCCCAACTGGCGGGAAGCAGACCAGTTGGATATTTACAAGCATGACCGAGGAGTTGAACTGGGGTCTACCGAGAAACAACTCCAGCTTAGTGGTCAGAGCTGGACTTGAACCCGCGTCCTCTGGATTTCAAGTCCGGCTCCCTAACCACTTGGCTAAGCTGCCCCGCTATGCTCCGTAGACGATTCTTTCCTTCTCATTTTGCCTTCTTTGGTGTTACAGCATTTCTCCTCCGTTTGAAATTTAATTTAGTTTTTTTTGACAGATGGTTTATATTTCTTTGTTTTCAGCCACTGCCGCAGCAACTCTCAGCATATCTCCTCGTAAAGTTCGCCAAATAAACGATCCTATCTCACAAATCCTCAATCAGCTTCACAAGATCATCTTCATTACGCAGGTACAGCGGGCCGGTTACCTTTAAGATTGCAATGACAAGTCATTTCTTGAGTTTTAAGGCTTAAAGCTTGCTTAGTCATTATGTTTCCAAATGCTCTTTTGTGCAAATATTGGTTCTCTCTTTATTTGGTACCTTTCACTGTTTTTTGTCATTTCTTTTCTAATTTCTAATTCTAATGCATTTAATTGTTTTTCTGACCTGAGTTTTATAGCCAAAATAATGTTTGTAATAGTTTTTTTGTGACTACTCAGCTCTTTTCACTATGAGTAGTTTTTTTTCCAATCAATTAAGTTAGTTTTAATTTCTGTTTGTAACAATAATAACAATAACAACAACAACAACAATAATAATAATAATAATGATAATAATAATAATAATAATAATAGTAATAATAATCGCCATCATTGTCATTATCATCGTCATCATATTCTATATTGCGTGGCGAATAAGAGCTTTGTTGTGAAATTGTCGTGTCGTGTCGCCTCTTGATTGAATGTTTGCGAGCAGATTAATTTTCAGTTTAATGCATTCTCGTGAATATTATTTTTCTTTTGTATTAGTTACCTCCAACACTGTCACCGAATCCACAGAGAAGAATAGTGGAACAATTCAAGAGAGCTCTGTTTGCTCCGCAAAACAGCTCTTTCGTGAATCTCAAAAGCGAAGTTAAAAAGGTAGGAATCATCACTGTTTTCATGTTTATGATAAAGTTTAGCTTAGAATTTTCTGTTTTGTGCAGTGCGCCATAAATGCTAGTCACGGTTTCGGGACACAGAAAGTCCCTTGTATGATGTAACCACACGGACAACTAAATGCTCACTTGCATCTAGAGAAGCCAGAATTTATTTTATCTCTACTTCAAAGCACGGACATTCAGCCGTATTAAAGAGGATTTATTGACATGTCCGGTGAAGGAACAACGTAACGCAAACATTCATTGGTACGTTTACATTGAAGGTGATCGAATGCTCAAGAGAAGTTATCGACCTCAAGTTCGGCTTTGGAGATCCAGCTTTCCTTCATCACCAGCAGGATACCGCTGACAAGTTAGGTACGCAGCAAGGGAGGGGTAGGCTGACAGACTTCAGTGTATCTCGATGACGTTGCTTCTCTGTTGTGTTACATTTTTAACCTTTGCATTGTTGTTTCTGTTTTACTAGTGAGCGGGGTGAATCTTGAATCTGCCGACGCTCAGGAAATTGGGATAACTTATGAGATGATGCAGGTTTGTGAGTGTTCTTGATTTAAAGGCCAGGTAGTACAGGCGAAATTTTTTTTTTCAACTTCCTGCGCGACAACTTGAAGAGAAATATAGCCCGTGTTACTGTGACTTAAGTATAAATGTCCTTTTTCTGATCTAGATCACTATCTTCTCTTGTTAAGATAGAATCGGCCAAGCGAGCGACAACTTTAGCCCATTTGAATGGAAAATTTTACAGTAATTTCCAGAACACTGTCGCGTTACTGTCTCTCTCTTTTTCAGACATTCAAGCAAAACCTTTCAGCTCGTCTAGTTGATTTATGGTAATAAACTCCTTCAAACTTGGAATAGACAACCGTGTTTTCGATTGATTTATAGGCACTTTCCCGTTGGTTTATAAATCTCCCCCAAACGCTATACACATTCGGTAATAGAGCAGTTTTTACTTCAGCTTGAGGGTCGAAATTAATTCGCATTCGCTTTGCTTCTGCGCGATTGGCTGAAAAAAAAACCTCGTGACTCTCTCGCACGCGTTTTCCCGCGCTTTGCGTCGGCTACATGTATTTTCTCTGAGTTTTGATTGGTTCTCTGGGCTGCGTGTGTCCTTTGTGATTGGCTAGAGTCCTTG